GAAAAAAAAAATTTCTTAAAAAAAAAAAAAAAAAATCATTATCCTAATCTATAAATTTTCACTTTAAATAATTAATACACCTGATAATATAAATATAATCATAAATATGTTTATTTAGCTCGTAGCTCGGCTCGTTTATTTCGATCCGAGCCAACACTCGAATCAATTTTTTGAGCGATTAACACTCTTCCAGCTAAATCCACCACCCTACTTGCAAAAAACAATTGTATTCGATGGCTCTAATATCTATCATACCTCACTTTTACGATATTCCATTTCATGTACTTCTCTTCTCAAATATAAAAAAATTTTAATTTTTATTTTTATTTTTTTTTATTTTGTATCCCTAATTCCTTATATTTATGCAACTAGGCAACTAGCCCACAAATAATTTGGAGTAGTGATCATATTAAATTCTAGATATATTTAGTTTTTTTTTTTTTTTCACTCTAACTTTCTTATTTGCTTATTTAGAATTTTGCCCCAACAACTCCTTCATTACCTCTTCTTTAGATTTCCATTTTTTAAGGGACATTTACATATTTACCACTGAATTGCTATGTATTTACATATCTAACACCTAAACTTTACGTTTTGACATTTATACCACCTAAATATTTGATATCTTATACAAATACTGTCATATTAGGTTTAAAAAAGTGAAATAGGCCTTTTTCATGCATAATTAATGTGGCATAAATGTAAAATTGAAATGTAGGTGCTTGATATGTAAATACATTTTAGTGGTATGCATGCAAGTCTTCCTTTTTCTGAAATAATTTGTTTACAATGCAATAATTATATAATATGAGTCAAATATAGCTTAACAAATTTCACTAATGAGCTCAATATCAACTACCATTTTTCTTATATGAACCAATGTCATTAAGAAATAAAGCATATATTACTAATATTTTCACTTATTTTTTTTTTATTTCATATATTTTTTACATTTATTTTTCTTTCAACCAAATATTAAAATTTTCAAAGCCATCAATCCCTTTAAAATACACCCCTCATTCCAAATTAGTCACTGAAAAAGGCATTTTTCCCATTGGCGTTAGATAAATATTTACTAGACTTGACGGAGCATAATCTTTGCATTTGAGGAAAAAATATTACGTCCGGACGTCCGCACGGCCAACCGCCGGGGCGCCGACATATATAACAATGTGACGCCCCCCCGATTGACCGTCTTCACGTGCGGTGTCCTGACGTAAAATCTTCTCACATTTGAGGGTTCAAATGAGAAAACTTTTTACAACTTTATTTACCTTTTTTTTTTGGCTAATTAAAAAGAAACAGATTTTGTTAAGGCCAAATATACTATGGGCCAGTTTAGGGCAGCTTATTTGGTGCGGTGGCGTTTTGAAAACGCTTCAGGTCTGTTTGAATAAACTGCATTTTGACAGGTTATGTGTTTTCAAAACGTTGAAAACAATATTTACACACCACACCTGTCTGGGTGCGGTGGCAGCTTTATGGGTGACAGCTTTTTGGTTGTGGTCTGACTTAAAAAAAAAAAATAAAAACTTGTAATAGTCACCGCACTTAACTTATCAGAAGATTATTTTTACTCAGCTTATCAGCAGATTATTCAATAAATTGCAGCTACCCCAAACAGACCCTATATCATAGTCCTTGAAATTCTATAATTAGTTTATTTTAGGAGCAAACAGCCCTTGGGTTTGTTTGGGGCTGTATTTTGTAGAAGTAATTATAGAAGTGTTGATGGGAAAACATCAACATTATAAATATTATCTTTTTAGAAGATTTAAATGCATACCACTCAATTCCTATGTATTTACAAATCCAACACCTAAGTTTCGATTTTTACATACAAACCACCTTATCTATGCAAGGAAAAGGTGTGTTTTAAATTTTGAAAGTTAAAATGGTAGAATTGTTGTTGCGATTTGAAAATTTTTGGTGATATATATATATATATATATATATATATATATATATATATTGACAGCTCAGCCATGATAAGAGTCAACCCAAAAGATGTAATATATATGTACAGACCTCTCATGATGTAATACATTGGGAGTAGAGCGTAGTGTGTACAATAATGTATGAATATTATTTGTTATTCGTACGTACACGCATAATATATAATACGTAATATTTTTTCCATATAAATGACAGTCAAATGATGAATTAGGAGGGACTCCTTGGGCGAAATTAGGGCATGCTCCCCGGCAAATCCGAATCTAACACTAAGTCAAATAAATAATCCGCCTGTGAACATAAGAAAATTTAGAGGCGGAGATGAAGGTACGAACGTGCGCTTTTTTAATTTTTATTTTAATAATGAACGCCTAAATATTTATAAAAATAGCATTCTAAACAGAAAATAATATATTTCGGTACTTGTGAGAATCCAAAGAATTTCCCGTGACTGACCGTATCAACGTGCTTCACGTACCAGATAGCCTCCAATGACAACGGAATCCAGAGCACAACTATTAATATTTTTTTATTTTATATTCTCAATTACATTTAATTAAATAATATTATTTTAATAGACCACTTATTAAAGTATGTCCATTCCATCGCCGAAATGGTTGACGAATAGCTGGCTGTCCCGGTCCGTCCATTTCAAACCCGACCGGCAGCGGGTCTTCGATTTGTGACTATTTCATTAGCTGAATAATTGCGATTAAGAGAAGCCATAATCATGATTATTAATTTTTCCTCTAATTTTTTCAACTGAGATTTTTCTTTTTTCTATTACGATCCTAACAATTAGGAAGATTTACATGTATATATCTAATACTTAAAATTTTAATTTATGCATAAATGTTATCTTATTTATGCATGAAAAATATGTTTTATTTTTCAAAAGTTAAACTAGAGACTTTTATGATATCAAACATTTTAATGTCATAAATATTAAATAATAATGTTTAGATATTAGGTATATAAATATATAGGAATTGAGCGATGTATGTAAGTACCCCAAAAACATTATGATTACTTGGCATAAAAATTATATTTTCTATCGGGCAATTTATGTTAAGAGTTTATTATGAAAAATGTATTGAAAATGTGATGTTTATTCAGATGGAACTCTAATAGCAAATTTCTAATTGAAATATGTATATAGATGATACAAATCTCCATGATGTTACAAATCACTTAAATAATCGAAAAATATCAAATAATGAAGAGTGGTTATTAGTATTTATTGAAAATAATACTTTTCTTATGGATTCCTTCTCTCTTTTTTTTCTTAAAAATTTTAGTCTAAAGAGGTTATGTTGTCCCACAATAGTTATATGATATATCGAGGCAATGTAGTTAATATATTTGAATTTATTGAGAACATATCTAACAATAATTTTAATGCAAATTTCTATTAACTTTATTTCATTTTTAATTGAATTAGATTTAATTATTAAGATATAATTGATATTGTTGTGTGCTAGAAAATTCGTGGTGGTAGAGTAATGGATTATCGTCTTAGCGTTGCACGAGAATTCATCACACACAGATAAAAGAAAATAAGTAAGCAGGAGGAGACACATTGACTTCTTACGTGGAAAATCATTAAAAGGAGAAAAAACCACGGGGTCTAGCCCAGTCGAAATAAACCACTATAAATGATGAGTACACAGGTCAATTCTTCTCCTAAATTAGGGAAGATAGAATTACAAAGTTGTATATCTATAATCTGGTTGAAGTTCTTGGTGACAGGAGGCTGTAATGGTCACTGTTAATTATTGTAGAGGTAGTAGTCTGTCGTGACTGCTATAGATAATTGCACCAGAAACATTGATTGACCAAAGAAATTGTAGTAACTAGTTACGACAACTGTTGACCACATAAGCCATAATGGCGACTATGAATGACGTCCATAAGTTGTCGAGGCCAGAGTCGGGAGCTGCATGAACTGTGAACCATGTAGGCCGTAGAGGCGAATATGAATGATATCCATAGACTACGAGGGTCGAAGTCGGAAGCTGCATGAGCTGATAACCACGAAGATTGTTTGAGCGAGTATGAATGACGTCCATAGGCTGCTAGGAATAGAGTCGGGAGATGCACGAGCTGTGAACCATGTAGGTCTTTGTCGGCACATGAACCGTAGTGATGAGCTCATGTCTCACTAAGATAACTGATAGTGTCTTGTTGGTGGTGATCAATGATGATTGGTGTTGATTGACGGCGACGGTCGAGCGTGGCTGACGGTGATCGACAGATGTCAACGACGTCGGCGGTGGGCGACG